CTACACAAAGTGCCATGCGGAGCATTAACTACCTGAGCACTTGATCGTCATCAGCATGTAAATAGCATTTAAATCCATGGTCCTTGAGAAACTCAAGGACCTTGAGTAGAGATAGATGAAGAAGGTCCCAGGATAAGCCTGAAACACTCCAGTTAAGGGGGTAGGAGGCATCAAGAATGGAGGCTGAGGGATTGGAGAGATGACTCAGCAGTCAAGAGCATGTACCGCTCTTGTAAAGGACATGAGTTTGGTTCCCACCACCCATGTCAGCTGACTCACAATCTCCCATAACTACAACTCCAGGGAATTCAATGCCTCTGGCCTCCATGGGCAATGCATTCATGTGTATACACACACACACACACACACACACACACACACACATTGAAATAAATCTTTTTTCAAAAAAAGGATGAACATGAGACAGCAGAGCCAGGAAAGTAGAAAAAGAGCTGAGAGTGAGTGGATCCCTAAGATAAGATCAATGGATAAATACTTAACAGTGAGTAATCAATTGACTGGGAGACAATCTTTGCCACCTATCCATCAAGGGACTAATGCTTGCTATATATATATATGTCTTTTAGAGACAGGGTCTCCCTGTAGCCCGAGCTGCCCTGGAACTCACTATGTAGACCAGGCTGGCCTTGAATTCACGGAGATCCGCCTGTCTCTGCCTCCCAAGTGCTGGGAATACAGGCATGAGCTACCATGCCCGGCAGAACCATGATTTTTTAAGATTTATTTTCATTTATGTGCATGCATGTGTGTCTGTAGTATGCGTATGCATATGTGAAGGTTCCTGTAGAGGTCAGAAGGTCTTGGGTCCCATGCAGCCGGAGTTACAGGCAGTTGTGAACTGCCGGAGGTGGGTGCTGGGATCCAAACTCAGTCCCCTGGAAGAGTAGCACATGCTCTTAACCACTGAGCCATCTCTGCAGCCCCATGAACTATGCTTCAGTTTTTAGCTACTACAGAAAGTAGCAGCTAAAAAAAAATACAGAAACTGATATTTTAAAGAGGCTGACAAATCCCATCATTCTCCCTTCAAAAAATTAAACTGAAAATCCTAGCAATGTGTCCCAATCACTGTAAGAACCCTTCCCCCAAGGAGGACACACTCTCACATCCTACTATACATCCTACTCCTGCCACTTGACCAGTCCGTTGCCTATTCTTCCCTACTATTAGATTTCTTTCCGGTTTTCAGATGAGCTTCAATGATCCACAGCAGTGACTTTCAAACACATGTGTATCAAAATCCGCTGCATTGCTGACAAGCTCCCAGGTGATGGTAATAGTGCCAGTGTATGACTTGGCTGTATTTTGAGCAGCAGAGCATGCTGCTCCTCCCAGCCGTCTTCTACTCAGTCTTCAGCTTTCAATGGAAAGCTTCCCTGGTGATGTGGGACTCACACCTTTCCATAGCACCCTGCACTTTCCCATCTTAACTGTCCCACTGTTCACCCCTTTGGGTTTGCTAGTTTCCAGGTACCCTGAGGGTAGAGATTGTGCTTCCTATTTTCAGGTATCTCTGTGTCGGCCACATAATAGGTACATACAAAGATGTGCTGATGTAAATGATTACTCAGACTTATGTTTCTTGACATGCAAAGAAACTTACAAAATGATGACTTATTAAAAATCAGATTAGAAACAATATAAAGAAAGCATTACCCTGGTTTTGCATAAGTCTAGAATTCTGTATATTTAAATAGTGCGGCTGGGAAAACAGCTCAGTTGTAAAGTTATCTGCCTTAAAAGCATGAAGACCTGAGTTTCATCCCCAGAATCCACATAAAAAAGTTGGGTACCATGGCGTGCACATACAGTCCCAGCACTACAGAGGTGAATACATGGAGCTGGCTAGCTAGCCACCCTAGTCTAGCTGGTGAGCTCCAGACCAATACAAAATTTATTTCAAAGTAAAAGATTTCAAGTTGAAATATTTTATAGTTGTCACCAAAATTGCTACTTAACAATATAAATTTGTTTGACTTTCCTATTTCAAATATTTAGCCCTACTAAATATTCTTGGTGTTTGCCACAAATAACAGTTACTCTATGGAGAATTTTTAAAAATATGTTTTATTTATTATTTTTATTTTATGTGTATGAGTGTACTGCCTGCATGTATGTGAGTGCACCCATGTCGTGCAATGCCACAGAGATCAGAAGAGGGCTTCGGAATCCCCTGGAACTGGAGTTAAGGACGACTCATAGCTGCCATGTGGGTGCTGGGAATCGAACCCGGATCTTCTGCAAGAGCAGTCAGTGCTCTTAACTGCTGAGCCATCTCTCCAGCCCCTCTATGGAGAATTAAAAGCACTAAAACAATATAACCATAAGTTTAGGGTTAACTATTATTACAGTGAAAGCAAAAGTCACCAAATAAAAGGGTGCCTGCTTCGTGTTTACAGTTACCTTCTTCAGAACTCTTATTAGAGCAGGAAAAAAATTACACATTTCTCTGAAGTTGTAGGCTCAGCAGACAGATATATTTCAAAAAGGTTAAGCTATGTTTAGCAAGGTAATCCTCGAGAGATGGATGCTAGAGAATTAAATATTCAGTACTTAAATTAACTTCTTATTTGGTACTTAAGAACAAATTACCAAGAATTATTATCAAACAGAGCATTTATTGACGCTCTTAGAAAAAGAAAGTGAGGTCTACTTGAAGAAGTAAAAAAACAGATAGGAAAGAAATCAGCAATTTTAACAGTTTGCATAACAATAGAAGCTGTAAATCCTCAAAATGATGTTTGGCCTGTGGAATGTTAAAGGGGTTGACTGAAAACAACAGAGTTTTAAGGACTGGGCATCTAGTTCAGCGGCAGAGCACTTTCCTGGCACATCCACAGCCCTGGGTTTAATTCTCAGTACTGAAACAAAAAGCAGAATCCGTGAACACTAGCTGACACTCATGACATTTACTGTGCACTGCCAGCCTCAGGCTTTCCAAAGACTGCCATGCTCCACTGCTGTTTTCTTTCTTTTTTCTAAATATTTTATTTATTATTTTTATTTTATGTGTATGAGTGTATTGCCTGCATGTATGTGAGTGCACCCGTGTCATGCAATGCTGTGGAGGTCAGAAGAGGGCTTCGGATTCCCCTAGAACTGGAGTTAAGGATGGTTCATAGTCGCCATGTGGGTGCTGGGAATCGAACCCGGGTCCTCTGCAAGAGCAGTCAATGCCCTTAACTGCTGAGCCATCTCTCCAGCCCTCAACTGCTACTTTCTATCAGGGATACTAAAACAGTTTTGAAATGTTCAAAATTCTTATACTGTTTTTTAAAAAGTTAGCACTCATGTGAGTCCTAAAATACACTTTTCCTAGAGAAAAATTAAGTTTGATAATAGTTTGAATCCTTTCTATCAAGGATTCAAGTTAAAACTCATTATGGTTACTCAACACCGTGAAAACAGGTTACTTTAAACCATAAAAGAATATACAGCTCCAAATTTTGCCAAAACTGTATTTAAGGAAATGAGTTCAGAATATACAGTGAAAACAGTGGGTTTAGTATACCATTAGTAATGTGTGGGGTACAACTGAAGAGATCTACTAGAATGTTTGTATCTTATCTATCTAGTGTTAACTCTAATATTGAAAAGGGCACTATTTAATTATATATATATATATATATATATATATGCCTTTTTGAGACAGGGTCTCCCTGTAGCCCCAGCTGTCCTGGAACTCACTATGTAGACCAGGCTGGCCTTGAACTCACAGAGATCCGCCTGCCTCTGCCTCCCAAGTGCTGGGATTAAAGGTGTGTGCCACTGTGCCTGGCTTAATTTAATATATTTACTATTCTTAAAGTATATGGTAGATGATTTTTCATGATTTCCACCCAATGTTTTGAATACAGGGGAATGGAGCATGCGTTCTTGGTGGTTAGGAAACATTGATTCCATGAAGTTGAAAATCAATGTTTTGGGTATCAGGAGGGTAGGATGATGAAAGATTTCTCTTTTTATGTATAAAATATAGGCATAAAGACAATACTACAAGTAGAAATACTTTTTTTCTACATAGTGAGTTCCAGGACAGCTGGGGCTACAAGGAGACCCTGCCTCAAAAAGACAAAAAAAAAAAAAAAAAAAAAAAAAAAACCCTCTTAAAGTATATTTTAAGTGGAGAAAATGAAGGAAAATGGGTTGAGGGAAACTGAGTTAGACATACCTGAATTCTAATCATTGCTCAGTGAAACTTGGGCAAGTAACCTGATATCATGAAGCCTAAACTTTTTATGAATAAAATGGAAATTATTACTTCTCCCTCACAGCTGAAAACTTAAATAGAAAGCATATGTAAAAGCAGGAAGCACAAGGCTCGAAATATCGTTGCCTACTGAGCAATACTAGCTCCTTTCCCGCTCTCTTTGGAGAATGCCGAGGATTGTTTACTGTGCGCAGAGCGGTATGTGGATTCTAAGGAAAGTGAGACACAGGAGAATGAAATGAACTCCAGAAACCTGACTTTTATACAACATCTTGGGCCGAGAGTATGTCCAATGAGGGTAAAATCCAGTTCAAAGTCTGATTTAGTTCATGTCCCAGAACGTGGTTTCTTATCACAGTGCACGTGAGCTCCTGACCTTCTGTGGCCTCAATTCCCACCTTTGTGTTCCAGAGTCGTTGTAAAGAAAACATATGAAAATGGATGGAATACTTTGAGAACTGGGACGATGAACCAAATTTTCTTGTTAGTTATTGCTGTGGTTTGAATGTGACTCCCAAACCTTTTACTCAGTTTCCAAAGCAACTGTGTTAAGTGGTAAGACCTTTCAGACTTGATCATAAGGGGTTTGCCATTAATGGGTTAACAGAAAGACTCTCTCTCTCTCTCTCTCTCTCTCTCTCTCTCTCTGGCATATTCTCTCTCATTCTCACTCTCTGGCATATTCTCTTTCTCTCTCTCTCATTCTTCCTCTCACTCTTGCTATAAATACCCTCAACAACTTTAAGCAAAGTAACCAGAAAACTCTTACCTATCTCTTTGTTCATCTACGAAGTGATCACCTAAGAATGATGATCCCAGTAGTCTAAGGAGGGTATTGTGACCTTTCTGGTTCGGAGTGTGATACACACGGGAAGCCAGGCGCAGATCAATGGGTAATTCCTCAGCTGGGACCATGTTGCACAGGTCATGAAGATGAGGAAAGCGGAAGCCCTGTGGGATTCTGCAGCAGGAAGGAAAGTGTTTCTTTCATTACTAAGTGTCTTCAGATAAGAAATGCATTTTATTGGAATACAAAAGTATAGGGATCAGGCATAAAACTATAATAAAGGTCTATAACAAATTTAATATTGTGGTTTCATGCATTGTCCAGGGCCTCAAGTTCATATCCAACTACATGTCTTATGGAAACTACATATTCAATAGGTCTAAAAGCAAACTCATTATCATCCCTTTACTGGCCTCTTCTCTCTTGAATTCTGTAACTCAGTCGGGGACACTGTATCCAGCCATGATGCCTTCCTCTGCTCAAATGCTATTGTCCCTGAAAAGACAGAACACTATCCATACCACATCATTTATGAAGCCCATCAGTAAGACACTGGGGCTCTCTGAGGTGTCACAGCCCTTCCCACTCTTCTGCAATTTGCTTCTCTCCTGCTTTCTTAATGCCTCCTGCCACTTGCCATCCAATCAACCTTCTGAGTGCCTAGTGTGTGCTCTATGCTGGGTGCCTTACATGTTCTAACTCCCACAGTAAACCTGTACCACAGAGACTATCCTTTCTTTGGGCAGGCTTATTTTGGATAAGTCCCAAAATTAATGCAACCCAAGCACAGTGTTTCTGTCTATAAGCTGCAAGCATTTTCTATTATTGCCAACTGAGTAGAAGTGACCAGTACCCAGTACTGCTCCGTCCCTCCTCTTTACTGAATCAAATGAGCTTTGGATCTATAGATCATGTTCTCTAAGACCTCCAAGCCACATTTGATAATGTTGACTCTTATGTTGACTCTTCTTGAAATCGTTCTTCCTCCAGGAGCTGTTTAGCTCTCCCCTATCTCAGGTTTCCGTGTTTCTCCCAATTTTGTTATAATTCAAAGTCATCAGCTTCCACACCAGGTGTGCCTTCTAGGTTCAAGCTTCTCTTTGAACACTTGTAAGGTCATGTTCAGAGTTTGTTTTTCCCTCTTTGCCAAGTGCTCCCAAATCTCATCCCTGTTGTCATGATGAACCTAGATTCCTCATATTCGAGATACAAAATATCTCTGTCCTCTCTCTCTCTCCCCCCCTCCCCCCTTCACCTGCATATCCTACACAAGGTAGAGTTTCTCCCAGACCCAGGACTGCACAGATGTGTCCCTTCTCCACTCTCCCTACCAGCACACTGCAGGCATGGTCCCCCTCACCTCCTCCTGCACAGGCAGAGCTTTGTCAGTTGAGCTGAGCACCATACTCTCTGTCTTCTCCCATCTGCAAAGTCCCACCAGATCCATATTGACTCTTTTGCTCAGCACAGTAGTTCTTTGTTGCTTACTGCACCTGACTGACTTCTCTGTAAGTTTCAAGACACTTAGCATATTGCCTGACTTCTAGCACAGAGGTTAAGAGTGGACCTTCGAGGGTCAGACTGCCTGAATTCAAATCCTATTTAAATTCTCATTTAGTCCTAGGCCTTGACTTAAGAAAGAAGAGTAAATGCATTTAGCACAGTGCCTTTCACATAGCAGTCATCAGCTATTATTAGCTTAAACGACAAGTCACAAAGACAGAGTGCTGTCGACCTTTCCGTCCATGTCTAAACATCCTTAAGACAATATCTTAATGACAGACATCTTTGCAAAGTTTTTTTTCTTTGTCTTTATTTCATTTTTACTCTGCTTTCTATCACCTTGGTTTTGGTTTGGGAGTTTGGTTTGGTTTTGTTTGCTTTTTACAAATGTCTCTCCCCTGCACTGTCCTAGTCACGAGTCGTTGATTTTGACCCTTTGCCGGGGGTAGTCCGTGCTGCTCTGTCTACCGACCCATCTTACTTCTCACACTTGCAAGCTGTGTTACCAACTTCTCTAAAACTCTTCAGGAAAAAAAGAGATAAAAAACTGTAGCTCTTGCTTTTGTAAGAACCGATCTTAAAAAATTAAATAATTGCAGTCTGTGGAAATCCTCCTTTTGTTGTTACTCTCATTGATGTGTGCTGCATGGCACTTCGTCTATTGTTAGGCACACTATGTAAATCAGTCAGTCACTTATACAAAGAGGTATATGGCTTTTCTAAAGCTGCAGAGTGCCCCGCAAGGAAAGAACCTAACAATTGTAAACACAGTAGGGGAGGAAAAGAGGTAAATATGAAGCTAGAGACCTAATTGGGAGAGGGAAAAGGGAAGACCAGCAATTCGGGGATGAGGGTACTCAGTAACTAGAAAGGGGAGAGGCAGACAGAGACGTAGAGACAAGGGGCAGGGAGAGAGACAGGGAGCCAGCAGGACAGAAAGGCAAGCTCCCAAGCCAGGCTCACTTGTAGCATCATCCTGCTCCAGGCAGGTCCTGGCTAGTAGAGTGTGCTTGAGATCGCATTGCTGATTTTATTTTTTTCGTTAAAAAGCATCGCAGCCAATCTGATGGTGCTCACATCACCGTCTAACAACATAGATTAGCAACTGATCAATGGTTACTGAACTAAATAACATCACGCTGCAATCGAGGACTGAATTCCCAAGAAAATTACTTATTTGAGGCTGGTCATTAGTGAGAATCAGAACTGACTGACTGAAGACAAAGAAGCGGCGAATTAAGGGTTTTCAGAAATACTTTTCTAAGAGGCAGTTCTATAAATAAATTCTCTAAACACCCGTTTTTCTTCCTTTGCATTTCAGTCTTCTTTCTCTGTGATGGAAATGTCTAATTTCAGCTTTCATTAATTAAAAGGGCAAATATATATCAATAAGATCTACAAATATTTTTGGCATGCTCAAGAAAGGCTATGTGTTTTTACAGCGCTCTCTCCTTAAGCAGGACTATTTGTCATTCTTTGAAACACTAAGACATAAAAAAGAAAAGACCCTGACTCTGTGTGTGGCCGCACTACTTTGCTTAATGCACTAAATGCAAGGTTTTTTAGGGGGAAAAAAATCAAGAAGTTTCTGCTTCATTGATAATCTGACAGTAACTATTTATTGAAGGTAAAACACTTGTTGTGTGCTGTCACTATTTGTTTTAATACATAATCTTGCTAACTAAATGAGCTTAAAGCAGGGCAGATAAGCAATGGCATGCACGGGTCACTTAAATGCCGATTTCACTGTTCCATCAGCTTTGGAATTCTTTTCCCATGAATCTAGTCTCAGCTACTAAATTGTGAGTAAGATCTATTTACAAAGTTCAGGCTGGCAATAAAAAAGGTCCAGCACTCTTCCCAGTTTCCTAAGCAACAAAAACTAATAATTAAAGTGACTTTAAACTCCCATAAAGAGTTAAATGAAGAATAATCTAGAATAAACCAACCCCTCTATCCTGAACTCAAATCCTAACCTAAACCCGTCCCTAGACAAAAACCTAGTGGTAAAATAAAGAGAAAACCAGTCTGAACAGGATTGACTGGCAAAAGGTAAACTGTAATCTGAATTGCATTCATACAGCATTGTTCAAACTTGTGGCTGTATGACAGGAAACTCAATTAAAGATATGACCAGGGAGCGTGAAACTGGAAGGGACAGAAAGAAAGAAACCTAAACTACTAAGCTGTCTAGCCTATGACCATTTGGAGTAGAGTATTCTATCATAGTAAAGTTACCAGTATAGTAAGCAGTTCATCAAAATCAGGCATTAACAGTGACCAAAACTATACCCAACACATTAATATTTACTTTTCTCTGGTCTCACAAAGAGCTGTTAATTCCAGATGTTGCATCTATAAGGTGCACTGGTCCAAAGCAGGCCTAGAGAGAAGCAAGGGGTAAAGTATCCCATCCCAGTGAGAGAACATGTGCCACTCTCCTTTGAGACGTTTTAACTCAGATCTCTACAGGAATTTATAAGACACTTAGTTTCCCTTTTAAAAATGCATTTTCATGTATCCACGTACTGAATGCCCACTCTTCAGATAATAAAATGTGTAAAGGGGCTGGACAGATACTCAGCAGTTAAGAGCACTGTGCTGCTCTTGCAGAGGAACTGAGTTTGATTCCCAGCACCCACTTGGCGGCTAAAAACCATCTGTAACTCCAGTTCCAGGACAACCAAAACCTTCTTCTGCCCTCCACAGGCACCAAGCACATGGGTCATGCACACACATACATGCAGCCAAACACTAATACACATAAAAATAAACCTTTTTTTAAAGTACAGAAAATGTGTTAAGAAAGTTACTTTTTAATTAGTTTTTTATCCTGATGAGGTCTTAAAGGCATTCTTGGTCTCAGTGGTATAACGGGTTGACTTTTTCGTGTTCGTTTGACTTCTCTTCCTCTGATTTGCAACATTTCTGATGATTTCACCTTTAAAAACATATAAAGTATGCTGTTAAGGAAAGGTATAATATTGAGAGTTAGACCTCTCATATTTAATGGCATGTTTATACTCCTGATTTCTGTATGTATTTTATAGCAGAATATAAATCTTAAAGGTGAGTTATTTTTTCCTAAATCCATTTCTAGTTTTATGTGCAAATGTTTGTGGAAATAAAATGTCAGCATCATATTTATTTATAATATTTTAATTATAAATAAAAATTTTAAAAATTAAAATAACTAAAGAAGAAATATAGGATGAACCTAGGGTGTCAGGCATGCTACAAATACTCTACCACTAAGCTATGCCCCAGCCCAGTCTACTTTTCCTTTTTTTCACTTTTTTTTCTTGTGCATGTATGGAATACATGTGCATATATGTATGCTCACAGGTATGTGTTTACATGTTTTCACATGTGTGCATACCTGTGTGGAGGCCCAAGGAAGATGGCAAGAGCTTCCATCCTCTTCACCTTAGTCATTGAAGGAGTCTTTCAACTGGCCCTATACACAGCATTTCGATTACCCTCATGGGCGCTTTGCACCAAAGATCCTGTCCCTGCCTTCTGGGGCTTTAATTACGGGTAGGTCACCTCACTCACCTACATTTACCTGACTCCTAGAGATTCTCTCCTCACACTGCAGGGCAAGTGCTTTATCCACTGAGTGTCTCCCCCACCTCCTGCTCTTCCTGACTGATGGTTTTTCCCCATCCCTCACCTCAATTGATATTTTATTTTGGGGTTTTGTTTGTTTGTTTTGGGGTTTCGGGGGTTCTTGTTTTGTTTAGGGTTTTGGGTATTTTTATTTTATTTTTTTTATCTTTTTGAGAAGGGTCTCCCTGTAGCCCCAGCTGGCCTGGAACTCACTATGTAGACCTTCAAGGTTAGCCTTGAAGTCACCCAGACCCACCTGCCTCTGCCTCCCCAGTGTTCGGATTAAAGGCTAGCACCACCACGCCCGCTCTTAATTGATATCTTAATAGAACTTCCCCTTAGTTTCTTAAGGTTTGACAGGACTTGTGATGACATGTACAGCTAGAAGAGCTTTAATGCTTTATGTTGTTATTTTGAGCAATATTTATGAAATTTTCTTTTCTATTACTTGGCAAACACAAATATATTGTCTCCCAAATAGTTGCCTTTAAGAATTATGTGCTACTAATACTGTTTTCCCAGATTGCCTAGAAATTTTGCTAAATGTATAGTAATAATCACACGTAGGGTTTTTTCCTTGGGTTACTCCAATTTTTTTGTCTTGTTTTGAGACTACATTTAAGGAAGAAATCAGGGAGGCTTTCCCTGCAAAAACAGATACAGCTGGATAAACAGAAAAAGGCCTGGCGAAGGGAAGTTGTTATGAGTCAGGTGCAGGAACTGGGCTTCATTCGGTGAGAAGGAATGAGCTATTGCAACGCCTTGGATTAGAAAGTAATACAGAATAGTAAAAGCAGAGCGTTCCAACCTCACCTGCAGTTAATACCTGAACTTTGCCTTCACAGTGCACCAAGCGCTCATCAGCTTTAATGTGGTCAGAGACCTTGAATATACGTTAACTCAGCCATTTTCTCTTCAAAACACCTCCACTTATTAACATCTTTGTTTGTTTCTTTACTATTGAGTCTAACACCTTTCATTCACCAGTCACAATTCAAATCTCAGGAACCATAACAGCACAATCTAGCCCTCTTCCATTTGACAGTGCAATACCTGAGTATATTTACTGCCTTGGGTTTTTTTGTTTTTTGTTTTTTTTCATCAGGTAAAAATCTTTGGCCCCTTCAACGCTACCTTACATGGCATGTTTCTGAAGTACTGTGCTTTGTCATCTCCCCTCCAAATCTCTAATTTGTCAGAGTCCCTTCTTGGGGTTGGATACTCAGATAGGAACCCAGTATTTAAGGTACTATCAATAACTGGGCGATCAGATTAGCCAAGAGAAAAACTACCTTCCCTATGACATCTGTCAACCAACGCAAACTGCAGTGCATTTGCCTTCCTATCACAAAATGGCATTACCATTTTAAGCCCCGAGGTTGTTCACATTTGTTACTAAATCCTATCCCACACCTGGTTGGTGGACCAAAGGCAAAAGAGAACATACATTTATGCCTACTGAGTTTCATCTGAGCTCTCAGTAACCAAATTGTACCAGTCACATTTTGGACATTATCTGCAAATCCAATCAGTAAATCTCCCATATTCTGATTCACATTTTTAAGGAGTATGTTAAACTAGACTCAACCCTATGGCACTCCACTAGAGACTTTCATGCAGTAATTATATGCTATATGCATGCATAACTAAAAATCCAACCAGTGGCTCTCCTAACTGCAATCTTATCTGCAGCACTGTGAGGAGGCTTTCATCAGCGGATTGTTGACATTCAGTGCTTAACACGAATCACCAATTTCCATGCTGGGTGTAAGGGCTCTCTCTCATGCCATCTGCATACCAACTTCACACAACAAAATGGTACTGTCATTGTTTGCATTTCACAACACAGGCATACAAGTAGTTTGGTAATTAGTCTAAGCTCATACATCTAGTAAAGGGTAGAGAGAGACTGTGTCCTTAAAAATCTGGCCCCAGAGCCTGTGAGCTGTGCATGTCCCTCATGTTGAGCAACACATCTAGCAGTGTCCTCATGGTTCATCTAATACAATTCTAAAAGAATCTTTTAGAATTCTTCTCCATCTTCTATGTCTGTCCTGAGGGAATCCGTGCTCCAAAGAATCACCTCTTCCTTTCAGAAGGGTTGAAAAGCACAATTCTTTTCTATTTAATCGTTCAAAGTTTTCTCCATGACCAATACAGAGATCACAGAATCCCAATCTTTACCTCCTAAACCTGCAGGAGTTGTGGTTGCCAGTCTCTAGGCTTCTGCATTCCAAAGCAGGTGCAGTCCTTGCTGTCCCATGTCATTAACACTTACAAGCAACAGGCAGCAGTCCTCAGAGCTCTTACTCAAACAGCACAGCAGGTGAGAAGCACCTACCTGAACCAACTTGTTCAGGTATCAGAATTAACTCTTCAAATCACCCACAAATCTCAGGATTCAAGGGTTTTTAACAATCAGGTCTTCTTTCTAAACTAAAGATCATTTCCTTGTCAGACTGAAGAAGTGAGGTACGCATTCGTCAGCTTCCTTTTCTCTGTCACATTTCTGATCGGTTAAAGCCTCAACCTTTTTCCCCAAAATAAATTAAAGCAGCCCTGTTATCTCCTGTCACTACACTATTCACTCATGATGACAAGGCAGTCTTTCATTTTTGCCCCCCCTCCCCACGACCTAAAACTAACATGAAAATCACCTTTTTGTTCTTAACACTATTCAGGGGCCTGGACTCCTGCATCTCAGCCCTCGGTGTGATCTCAACAGCCACATGCCACTTTCCTTTGCCATACATACATTTCTTTCATCTTTTGTGTATTTTCAGAACTATAAAGGAAAAAGATCACTCCTAATTGTTTTGTGTGAATTTGAGTGGATTTAGAGAATCCCATACCCCTTAAACATCAGTCTATTTAGAATCTCAGATTATATAACCAAACCTATTTCTATTTACATGTGTGGTTTTCTCTTTTGAGACAGGGTCTCATGGTGCCCTGGCTGATCTGGAACTCACTATGTAGACCAAGCTGGCCTGGAACTCACAGAGAGCTTCCTGTCTTTGCTTCCTGAGTGCTGGGATTAAAGGCATGTGCCACCACACCTGCTCAAACCTCTAATTCTTAATATAGCAGTCTACTGCTACTGGTATTTTACCTTCTAAAAAACTAACCAGTTCTATTATTATTTTATCAGTAATTTCTTCAACAAGTCACTATTACATCTATGCAATTTTTCTCTTGTTGAAATGACAGCTCAGAATACTAATGACTTTTCTTTTATTGCAAAGAGCTTCTAAGAGGAGACGTGGTCAATAAGGCTATGATCATTCACATTTTCTTGCTGGAGGTCTTCCAGTCTGTGCTGAAGTCCTGCCTCACTCTTTTATCCAGATTTATCAGCTATGTCAAGAAAGTCTTATCCTCCACTCTGTCTTGGTTTGTTGGGACACACTGTCCCTCGTCCCCATCCCAGCAACGCTACAGATTAAACTTTTGATCTACATATAGGGTTAAAATTCATGGGTAAATAAACTAATATAAAATTCTAAAACACATTTTCACAATAGAAAAGGATTCCAGAGTTAGGATAAATCTAAAGAGGGGCAAATTCACCCAGTCCTAATCCGTGGTCTGCATTTCCTGACTCCCTTCAGATGATACCTAGAAGACATGTGGTCAATTTCTCAAAGATCCCAGAGGCCTTCTTACCTTGAAAATCTGCCTTTCCTTCCCAGATCTTCTAAAAGCCCTCAAAAAACATCTCTTTTCTTTTTCTGCATTTCTGACACCCCTTTTAAGGGTGACACACCCCATATACGCACACACCCTATATCTTGGTCTTTGCCTGGGTAATTTCTTCACATGTGTACATCCTCAATTCTCCTAATTCTAAGTGTTCCCAGCGTAAGTAGAGGGTGTGATTTCTTTTGATTACCTTTGAAGATGCCCGTTTGAGTGCTTTTGTATCGCCTGCGGGATGGTCAGCTTCCGAAGGTTTAGGTTTACTTGAGTCCTCTGCTGGCTGGATGTCTGAAATTTCCTGAGATTTAAATGCAATGTTTTCTTCTTCTAACGTTCCCCATTCTAAAATATCCTCCTGCTCTATCTGGAAGACGCTTGACACCGCTTCAGGAAGCTCCTCGTAAATATTCTGCTCCAGAAAAGAAAAGTATAAGAACGCTCAAAGTTCTACAACATGTTCTATATCCTACAACATAATGAGTGGAAAGACGCATGTTTGAGAGTGAGCAGACTTCAAAAGGAAACTTCAAACTGACTTAATGAGAAATATGAATGCAAATTATTTCCCCTTGCTTTTGCCTCAGAAAACACACCTGCTTCACAGTTGTTACATGTAAACTGTGAGGAAGTAGCAGGACTCAGCCCTTATCCAAATGCCATCCCCATAGTTCCACAGAATTAAGGTTGTATGGATTCCACAGAAAGCACTGCTGGATGGTCTCACCTCCACTCTCAGAGTTGTCACCTGGGTCAGCCATGGGTCCCTGAAACACCAGAATGCTGCCCAAAGCTAGGTTTTCACAGAAATGAGATTCCATCTAGCCAACCTCACTTCTAGAAGTTTGACTTGAGTTCCTGGAAGGGTTGGGCCAGGCCTCAGGAAGGCCACTGAACAGCATAGCTCCAAAAGCTTTTTTTCACAGACTGTCTCACCTACACCTGCTTTGTGCTCTTCGATAGTGTATCACTGACTGACATCTGGTGTCACCAAATCCTAAGGGACATTTCTTCATGGTCATATTGGGGTATTAGCCATTTTTTAAAAAGAGAATTGCTGCCAGGTGTGGTGACGCATGCCTTTAATCCCAGCACTGGGGAGGCAGAGGCAGGCGGATCTCTGTGAGTTTGAGGCCAGCCTGGTCTACGAAGTGAGTTCCAGGACAGCTGGGGCTACAGGGACACTCTGTCTCAAAAAAACAAAAACAAAAAACCCAGTTGTTTGGGATTACGAATCATGGAGAGTTAAAACTACCTCAACTTAACAAATAATAAAACTAATCTGACTTCATAAAAGTTTGAATTTACAGAGATAGAGTGACTACGATGTATGATACATTTGTTTTGCTAGTAAGTAAAATAGAGTAAAAGGTGTCATATGGTGCCAAACACTATAGAAATTTCTTTGTCATTCAAGAAAGGATAGCTGAACCAAGAAGCTTATAAAATGAAGCATTAGCCTTGAGCTTATGTTTCTATAAAGTGACTGACTGGTGTTAAGGAAAAATTAATAATGTTTTAACCAAACAACACTAAGTCCAAGTCCTGGATCTGTCGATGAGCAGATGTTTGATTTTGGTCAAGTTACTAGCCTCATTTTCCTTATTGATTAAAAGGGATTAATAAGACCCTGTTCATAAAGTGACAAAGTGGACATACTGAGGAATTACAAGCCATGTACCCTGGCTCTATTGTTCCTCTTGGTATAAACTGACTTATTTTATGTTCCACACCTTCAAGCATCGTCAACCATTTCCTTTCCTTTGAATTTTCTGCCGCTGACTTTTTCCTCACAGTCTCACCGAGTTCCAGTTTTAGAGACTGAACAAATGGAAGCACCATCCACTAAAATTAAAAACGGAGGAAGAGAAGCTCAAAAGGAGGCCACAGGAGTCCTCTGGCTGCAGTCCTCCCCTCTTTTGGACTCTGGCCAACCTCACAGCACCCACCAAACCCTTCCTAATCTACCTCTCTTCTGTGCCTGCCTGCATCTCATTCTGTAGCACAGATGATGGGAACGCAGTGGCAAACTGGTGAACCAATACTTCTCAAATGATTAGCACATGACACTACAAAATCTTCCAAAGTAGAAAGTTAACTCAAGAGCACAAGGCAGCCCCACTTGGTGACACATGCCTTTAATCCCAGCACTTGGGAAGCAGAGGCAGGCAGATCTCTGTAAGTTCAAGGTCAGCCTCATCTATATAGTGAGTTCCAGGACAGCTGGGGCTATAGGGAGACCCTGTCTCAAAAAGACCAAAAAAAAAAAAAAAAAAAAAAAAATCGTGCAAGACAGATCCATGGATTTAATGTGATCGTGTGTAACAAGTTCATATACCTGGTTTCTAATTCCATATTACAACTAGTCTTTAAGTACCACTTGTACAATTTTAGTGTGTTAACCAAGAAAAGTATTCTAACTATGGTAAAGGTTATTAAAATATGACTTACTTTCCCATCTCTGTGACAGCAGATTTAATATGTTTCATTCAAAAGAACATGTTACAATAGATTGAATGCAAAAGTAATATGAGAATTTCGTTATTACATTATATATTTAACATTTATTATTATTGTGTGTATGTGTGGTCTGTGTGTGAGTGTGAGTACAGGTTACGTGCATGCCATGGCATGTGTGTGGAGATCAGAGGACAACTTTCTGGAGTCAGTTCTAGCCTTCCACCATGGGCTCCAAGAATTAGCCTCAGGTTGTCAGGTTTGCACGGCAAGCACTTTTACTCACTAAGTCATCTTGCCATTTAGAAATTTTATTTTTATGTTAATATGTAATTGACTTAAAATTGTTCTTTTAAATAAATAGACACTTTAAATTTTTTCTCCATTTTCATTACCAATACATAAAAATCAGTTGATACAATTCAGATAAACAAAAGTTTTTTGGATCCCTTAAAACAACTTTAAGTGTTCAAATTCAAAAACATCCAGATATTTAAAAGTTTGGGTCCTTTTAAACTTTAGTTTGAGAACTCTTTTAAGAAAGAAATGTGGGGCTGGAGAGATGGCTCAGCGGTTAAGAGCACTGACTGCTCTTGCAGAGGACCTGGGTTCGATTCCCAGCACCCACATGGCGGCTACAAACAATCCTTAACTCCAGTTCCAGGGGACTCTGAAGCCCTCTTCTGATGTCCACGGCATTGCACGACACGGGTGCACTCACATACATGCAGGCAATACACTTGTACACATAAAATAAAAATAATAAAATATTTTTTAAAAAGAAAGAAATATGACAGAATGCATGAAATCTGGTGGGGGATGTAAGGCAGGTGCAGACAGGGGAGGATGGTTAATCTCTGATTTAAGATACATTGTATGAAATGCAAAATATATCAATAAAATATATTGTAATAAAAAAAGAAGTTGTAGGGCTGGCAAGGTGGTTCCACAGGTTAAAGCACTTGCCATACAAGCCTGATGATCTGAGTTCAATCCCAAGAACCCATATAAAAAGCTCAGTGCAGTAGCAGGTCAACTAACCTGCTCAACTAACAGTGCAGCAGAAACAAGAGTGACTCTGATTCAACAAGGTAGAAGCCTGGAACCAACTCCAAAAGTTCTCTGACCTCCATATGCATACTGTGGCCTGTGCACACCTGCATTCACATAAACTCAACACACACACACACACACACGAACTTTAAATACATGATGTTATGTTTACCTTTAATATTTCAAGTATTTTGCATATTGTACACACTTTGCCACTCTTTGTGACTATGTCAGTGAATGATGGAAAGGAAATGTCAATTTTCCTCTACTCTGAGTTAATTTCTATTAGGATATGGATGGGAGCGTATGATCTTGTCTCTTCACATATTGGCCTATGTCCACGATGAATTACTCCAACACAAGAACCAGCTCTGCTACCTTTGCGTCATCATCTAAAGCAATGTTGAATGAAACAGAAAAAGCAATGAATGAATGAAAGCATGAACCTGTGCACGCACACGCGTGTGCGTGTGTGTGTGTGTGTAAATCACCAAGGTCCTTCAAAATCTTATATTCAAAATATTTTCAGTAAAAAATATTCCAGTAAGAGTGCTTCTTTTTTAAAAAAAAATTTTATTTAATAACCACACAATTAGAAGTAGCATTTCATTACAGCTTTGACATATTCAGTAACACATTCCAGAGCAAAGATACATCTCTTTCAAAAGTAGCTGTACATTTTTAGTTTCACAGATGAATTAATACAGTTGTACAATATAAATCCTGTAAGACATAAAATTGGATAAGCTTTTACCCTTGAAAGAAGATCTCCATTTCATTTTAAAATATGCTGTTTCCTACACTTTTAATGCTACTCTCTATGTATCTGATTATTACTAGTCACAGTAGGTTACGCTCAGATACTTAGTACCTGAGTATGGATATAAAGTTATCAGGTAGGTTTCACTGGTAATGTTTATCACCTCTACTATTTAACATGAAGTAAATTTTTATGCTTCTTCCTCAAATATGTCTTTTTTTAATTTGTTGATTTTTTTTCTGTGTGTATATCATACAGAACATTCCACACAGTCTTATTCATCTATACACCCACTTCCCAAATGGCACCCTCCCATAGCCTCCCCAGCCCCACTGGAGCCCATATACACTGTCATCCCTGTTACTGCCCACTGTGTTATCAGCACCACCAGCCATTCTTCAGTGCTTGTCCATCTGCTGAATCTAATCAGCCTATCTAGAGATCCTTGTTTTAGGAAGGTCAGCTGTTCCTCATCTAGCAGCAACCAGTTGTCAATATTCCTTTAGATAAGGTTGGGGTCTGCTGTTCATTTTCCCAGTTCTATGCAGGGTTACTGTCTGGGAGTTTTTGGGCCACCTTGGCCAATAACTCAAAGGAAGGTATCTCCTGTCTGGCATTGTTTCTTGTTATGTAGCCTTTAGCAATACATATGGGCTATTAAAAAATTATATTGACCCCATTAATCTTTGGTTATACTTTCCTTTTGGTGTTTAAGAACCTATAATTGGCCCAGATAAAACAGGTATTGTGAAGGGGAGAGTTTCCATGAACTCTTTCTCTGATTGCTTGTTATTGGTATATAGAAAGGCTACATATTTTGTAGGTTTATTTTGTAACCTACCACTTTAATGAACATGTTAATAATTTCTAGGAGTTTTCTGGTGGAATTTTTGGCATCTCTTAGATATCATATCATCTGTATAAAGGGATAATTTGATCTCTTATTTTCCAATTATTACACGTATAATTTCTTTCTCTTGTCTTACTGCTCTTCCAAGAGTTTCAGGCACTACGTTAAAGAGGAGT